GGGGCTACTGAGATGCCGAGGGTCTGCCTCTGGAGAAGCTTATACCCTAGAGGAGAACAGGCCAGGGAAACGACAGGAGCAGTGAAAGATGGAACAGGCCGGCAAAATCTCTGAGCACCTTTCCTTTTAAAGCGCTTTTCTAATCCGCTCACGTATATGAACCTTTTCATCCTAACGACAGACAAGAACCCTACAATAAGAATCATGAAGACCACAGACTGACTTCAGAGTCGGACCGGATTCTGAACTCGGCTCAGCCCCATACCAGCTGTGGGACTCTAGTGACATAAACTCTAGGCGCCTTTCCCTCGTTTGCATAATGGTAATAATAATACCCACTTCATACAAGGTTTCAAGTTCCTAGTACAGTGCTTGGCATGTAGAAGAGACTTAAAAAGCAAAAGCTTTAATGCCAGGTGGCACGAAGTGTCTGCATATCCGCACAGAGCAGGAAGACACGGGGGATTTTTATAATCCATAATTTATCAAAAGGTCAGTACTAGTGTTCTTTTTTCCCACCCTCCCCCAAACTAGTTCAGACAAATGAGAACAAAGTGACCCTGTTTACTGTGAATAATTTGATAATACAGACAAGGGGGAAAACACCCAAATAACAGAAATCAGAGAAAGTCCCACTAACAATTACTATGAACATTTTGGTTTATATGGCTCCAGGCTCTCTCCTATACTCAAGCACACACAGTATATTAGGCATATACTTAAATAAGTAAAATTATATACCTGCATACAATTTATTCGTAAGATACTACTATAGAATTCATATTGTTTTGCAGCCTANCAGAATTCATATTGTTTTGCAGCCTGAAAACATTTTATTTGGTCAAGTACAAATCTCTTAATATCAATACAGCCATCTCCATCATGACTTTTTAAGGACCTGGAAGAGTACTGCACTGAAAGAAGTAACCATTAAATACGTTATTTCTTGAATTTACAGAATCTACCAAAGTGGTCCAATTTATGAGAAATGACTATGTGTGAGGTAGCATGTGTTTATCTATATTTTCGTCACGNAAAGTGGTCCAATTTATGAGAAATGACTATGTGTGAGGTAGCATGTGTTTCTTATCTATATTTTCATCACGATAGTAAGAGGTGGATTGTATAAATATAAGAGTTAACAACAAAGATCGCTTTAGTTTAAATGAGAGTAGCTTAGAAGAATACTAACTAGCACTTACGCACAGGGAATGATATCACAAATTATAATATTCAGGGGCTTTCCAATATACTGAAAGGGGAGAAAATTTTAAAGACTAGGGCTAACGATGGATAGAGATGCCTATTTCAAGTATGAAATCCCAAGACTGAAGTTAGAGAAGTGGCCCTGTTTTCAGTCTGATCATGGTGCAATTACTCAATGACACAGAGAAAGTTAAACTGGAAACTATAAATTCTTGAGTGCCCCTAAAAATTCACATTATATGAATTTCAAAACCTAAAAAAAAAAAAAAACCTACCAG